AAGGCACGGAAGTCAATGTTCCCGTCCTATGAGCACCCCCCCCAGTAAGATTATTACCCCCCAAATTCTATGATTTGGCTGTGATTTATAAACATAGGTTCATTTGTGGCAGAGTGGAAACCCCACAGCAAGGTACAGATTGCAGGACCATCAGATTTTCAATGGGAAGCATATTTCTGATGCAAGTTGATTATAGTTCCAAGCAGTCCTTTTAATTTTGTTGTTAAGCTGCAAGGAAGTTTAGGTTTGGGATTTCTGTCAATAGACTGTCAATAAGGGTACTAACGTGCAAAAAATGGATATATGATTTTCAGGTACAGATTTTAATTCTCTTTTTAGAAAAGATACTTTTTTTTTTCTTAACACAAAGCGAATGTGGTGAACAAGGAATGATCAATGTTGTAATGTTATATTTTATTTGTAGACTAATCAGCCACAACATTTAAACCACACGCAGGAGAAACGAACACTGATCATCTCATTATAATCCAGCATCGTCCTGGGAAGTTTGGGCTTTCGTGTGGATGTTAATTTAACCACAAACACCTGCTAAAGCTGCTGCAGACCAAGCACAGCTACCCATGGGAAAAGCAGCTGGTAGCAATGGGCTCTTTTCCTACACCACAAAAAACTGCTCAGGACCTACTTGAAAGCATCCAAAACAGCCCAAAGCATTGACCTGGCCTCCAAACTTCCCAGATTTCAGTCCTATGATGCTTCCACAAAATGCACCAAACCCTCAGGGGACAAAGGATCTGCTCCCGATGTCCCAGTCCCAGACAGCACAAGACATTCTGTGTGGTCCCCTATCAGTGGCCTGTGTCCGAGTGTCATGAGGGGAACCTACTCAGAGCTGGTGGTTTTAATGTTGTGGTTGAACAGTGTGTGTGCTTATAGAGTGACACTGGATGAATCATTTCCCTTCTAGCTGTTTACCAGCATTCCATATTTGAACAGTAAAAAGCTGCATTAGATTCATATCGAACTTGATTGAGAGCAGGGAAAACAATGTACAGAATGTAGTTATTGTTTGTTGATGGTGTCTAAACCACAATGTTTCAGAGACACTGGATGGCATTATTGAATGTGCTGCAGATTATGCGTTTGTTTTGATGCTGATGATGAACTGAATACTGTAACCTGTGCATCCAAACTAAACTACATCATGTTGATGGTGAGGTTCAGTGAAGGACGTTTTGGAAAATCTGCTTATTTGCATTGGTTAGGAGACAAGATCATAGATGCCACTCTTGTACCTTTTTAGTGGGCATGTAGCATAGAGCACAGACTGTGTATAAAAGACGAATGACATCACTGATTGGCTTGTGATTTCTATATTTTTGAAGCCTCCAATTTAGCTAAAATCATGACAGCTTGCATTTCTGGAACAGGAAGTGACCATATTTAGGCCACTGAGTGTAGTGCTAAGTTATCAGCTAAGCTGCATCCATGGGTAAGATGAAACTATTCCAGGAAATTCCAGTTAAAAAAACAAAAAAAAAACAGCAACAGCAGGTCCATGTTTGCATTGGTGCCCAGCAGATATAGACTAATGGCAACATTTGGTGATCTTATATTCTAATAGATCAGCTGACATAAACAGATTTGTTTGTTTCAGTTTTGGCCAACTCTTCTTGGATCAGATGGTTTCATTTTTGTAACAGTTCAAATGACCTTAACTTTGAACCATGACTGAAGCTAATTATACATACAATCCCAAAACAAGTATTGTACCTGGCTATAAACATTCACTTCATCTCTGGGTATTTTTACACAAGAGACTATGGGGACTGACTCACTTTTGGAGCCAGCTTCAGGTGATCTGTGTTTTTTGCACTTCCAGGTTGTTGCTTGAATTTAAGCCAAAAGGTTAGCTTAGCTTAGCATTAGACATAGAAGACACAAAAATACACCTGCCATCTGTAAAGCTCACTTAATAAATCAAATCACGAAACTATAAGAAACCTTTAGTTTAAAGATGACAATGTGTGGCAATCAGAAATAAGATCAGAAAGTTACTGCTCTTGGCCAAGAGATACTCATTCTGCCACATGTAAAACACAACGTTTCCCTCTTTTGTGAACAAATTAGGATATTTTATTAATCCCAGAGGAAATCATGAGATCTGAATTGATTCCAGTCGGCAGCTGTTTTCAGTCCTAATGCTAAGCTAACTGTAGGTTATGGAGTCATCATTTAGACAATGATGTAAGTGGTATAGTCTCTTTCTCTTGTCAAGAGAGTAAATTTTCCAAACTTTCTAACTGGTCCTTTAAAGAACCCTAAACGCTATGTGCTACAAGCATACATACCTCTGGAGTTCACTTTAGTTTGATATTTCAGGTGTGGGTAGATTTTCTTTTTTATCAATAAATTTTTAAGTAAATTATTGCTATTCGTTGAATTGAGTACGTATTTCCTTAGTTTTGCACACCCAGTGTGTACAGAGATTGTTTATTTTGAGTGCAGTGTAATTTTTAGTATGATTTCAATATACACTTTTTCCTGTGCGCTGTCAAAATGTTCTAAAAGAAACAGTATGTGCAAAATCTCTGCATGTAAAAGTGCTTTAAGAATGATAGAGTTGAATCTTTTGTTAATTTGCCAGTGTTTTATTAAATTTACATTGTTTTTACAAGGGATTAACTTCTTTTGTACAGTGGAAATTCCTTAACGTGCATCAAAGACGTTTTATACAAACAATGCCTCAAGAGATATATGATGATCTTTTTTATGAACAAGCTGTTGTTGACTTAACAGAAATAAAGCAGTTTCTGAAATGCCTGCAGACTCCCTATTTTTTTCCCTTTTTTTGATGACTATGATTATTTGAAAAAAAAAAGCCTTTTAGCTGCAATCTTGCCTCCATACAGAATACAGATTACCCTCTGTACCCTCGGTGGAAACGCAGCACTCACACAGACAGTTATCGGGATGCTGTTGATGGTGTGAAAAAAAATTACCCACTCAAGCTCAAAACATCAACAAACTAGACACAGAAGTGGTGACCTATGCATTTCAAACACAATTAGAGTTGGTGTAGGTAAACGATACTTTGCTTTAGCTCACTGGTGCATAGGCTGGAGAGGCTTTTCGTGTGAAAGCAGGGAGGACTTTACGCAATTCTTCTAGGAATTGTGGGATGGTGCTGGTGTTGCTAATCTGTATTGTTAATGGCCTCTTCCTTCCTGTTGGATAGTGAGGTGCGGGGGTATCTTTCTCCCTTCAAGTCTCATGGGCAGTGGACATTTAAAGGGATGTTCACTCATGCAAAGGAAGCAACGTGATAACTGCCAACTTTAGCTGGATACTCGGGAACATCTCCATGGAAACAACCTCATAGTGTAAGAGGTTTGCGGCTTAATGCTGTAACAATTCCAAGGGCAGAAATCACAACAGCATTGTTCCTTTCTGTTGCAGACGTCTTTCCAGTCTCCTCTCAGCTGACTTACAAGCCAGTGGCACATCGGAGTGTCTGAGTCATTCCACAGTCTGAGGTCACTCACACAATTTCCATTTCCTTGAGACAGCACTCAGTCGAAGTTTGAAACATTTTTTCCACAACACAGTTGCAAACTCTTACACTTCATTTATCAGACATAACAAAGTACTTAAGTACAATTCTGAGATACTTCTCTTAGATATTTCTGCTACTTTAATTCTTTTATTCCAGTCCACTGTATTTTAATTTAGATCTTACTGCGGAAGCTTGGGCGGCTGCTTTTCAGAATATTTACAAGTCATTATAAATTAATTTCCGGTATAAAATTTGATATAAAATTCAATAATTTATTTTATTTTTCAACCTGCAGGATTTTTTTGGTCACTTGGGGTCAGCAGAAACAAGCTGTGAATGCAAAAATAAGACATACTGTCCTCCTTAGTTCGTAGACAACATATAAGTTCCAGGTGGAATATTTATTTTTCATCCATCCATCTGATTTGGGGTTGCTGGAGCCTATCCACAGGGCAGGACACAGGGTACACCCTGGAACAGGTCATCGATCTGTTGCACACATTCACACTTGTGGCCAATTTAGGAATCACCAGTTAACTCAACCCCATGCATATGTTTGGACTGCAGATTGAGTACCTGCAGAGAGGGATCATGCAAACTCCATATGGAAAGGTCCCAGCCTGGATTCATTTAAAATGATAATTATCACATTTATTGCCTTTTGTCTTTTAAGTCTTAATTTGCATCTTGTTTTATCTTCCACTAAATGCAGTGTAGTTTTAAAAAACACAAGTATTTATTTATTTATTTATTTATTTATTCATTGCTTTAACTGTCAAAGGAAAAAGTCCAAAAGTGATCAATAAAACAGCTTTAGTCTACCGTATGTGCATATGGTAGTTAAGACTGGGTCCAGTTTGAGCAGCTACAACTGTAGCCATTTCTTTCAGTTAATCACTGAAGAAATGGCCATTTGTAGCCATATTAGCGCTTTTATTTTTTGGTTCCTTTTATTGTATTGAGCTGTTCTTGGCCTCATCTTTAACCTAACTTGCCCCTGTTATGTTGAATCCAGCTCCCTCCAACAGGGAGAGGGGAAGACGACAGGAATGGAAGCGGAGGCCTTGGTACGACTTAACTCCCCTGCATCAAAGGATAATACGCCCTTTCTTACTTTGTCCGTTTAACAGCTGGAGGGATCCCGAGTCTCTGTGTGTAGTGGGATTAGCTGCACTATTGTATCTCTGCTTTGAACCTCACTAGGTGGTGCCAGAGGGTGTGAACTAATGTAGCATTGCAAGGAGGTCTGCTGCATTATTTTTTTCATTTTTTCCTTTTTATAAAAAAGCCCCTCTATTTACTCAGAGTAGGTTTGCTGGGCATAAGTGCACTTTTCAGGAACACCAGCTTCATATCCACACTCTCAGCAACAGCTACATAAAGTCACACCTGGGAGCTGTCGAGTGCAGGTATACACGATTCTGTCGAGGGCCAGCGAACACATATACTAAAAAGGATGTTGGGTTTGGGGGGGGGGCTTCTCTTCATCGGGTTTGTGTTTTTTTTCCCCTCATATGGTGCGGGGATTTGGCCTGGCATCCTTCCAGCTAACATGCAGGTTACTCCAGTCCCTGTGTGCAGCTTAAACTATCTGCAACCTGAGTGAAAGGGGGAAAAACTCTTAAAGCCAGGTTCTGCATACGTTCCTGTTTTATTAATATGCTCTGTACTCTTACCTCAGTCACATGTATTTTTTAACGTTTTCAGATGGGCCCCAAGTTACATCATGTCTAAGCACGCATGCTTTGGGATCTGTTTTACAGTCCTAACTTATTATTTGTACTACTGAAATATTAATATTCATAGGTACTGGCCTGGTCAGCTGGTTATATGGCCCCGGTGTGCATTCACTTGCAGAGCTCTAAGTGGCCAGCACAGCTAAAATCCCATTCTGATGCAAGAAACTGTAATTAATGGTGATGCAGCAGGACAGTAGTCATTACTGAAATTGCTAGCACAAAAGATAAAAGAATACTTCAAAGTTTTTTAATAAGTTCAGACAATGACCAATTGATTTCAGCACAAAGACCTCCAGCAGAAAGCAAATTGGCTTTTTTTTGTCCCCCAGTTTTTAACTTTTGAAGGAAGGCTGGCTTGAGTCTTTTGTTCGGGCACCTTCAGACAAGACAAATACAGTTATTCACTAAGCCAGAAGTTAAAATCATGTATCAGCGTTTTCCAAAGAGTCCTCTTGCCGTAGATGAGCACCACGGCAGCAACGGTTGTGTAGAGTGATGTGAAAAAGATTGTGAGAGAGAGGGTGCTCTCTTGGTGCACCACAATTTTGTAGTTGACATACAGGTCAACCACGAGCAGGACAAGGAAGTTGGCCACTAGACCAAGAGCCATTTCGATGACCCTTATCTGAGTGCCCAGCTTTGGAGGGTGGGTTCCATTGGTGCTAGCTTTCATGTGCTGGAGATGGATGGCCAGGTGAACAGAGATGGAGATGCAGCATTTCACCATGACCACCCCTGGAAATACATCAGAGAGGAGCAAGTACATGACTTGATAAACCTTCACAGAAGTGGTGTCAGAGAATACAAGTCCACAGTCTCCATTTGCTTTGTAGGTGATGTTGCCAACAGCGTTTCCAGCAGCTGCTGGGTTGCCAGCGTTAAACAACACGAACATTGGCAAACAGGTGCCAAAACCAAACAGAGGGATGAGAATCACAGCTATGGTCACATGCTTGACAATGACATCTTGGGCGTGTGTGTAGCAGTGGTTGGGTTCGTGAACCAGTTTGGTGCTGTAGTAGAAAGTGAGAAAGCTGCTGTTCCACATGATGATGAACTTGAAGCTGAAGGTAAGCACCAGCAGGATAGCGTAGCCTATCTGGGCAATCTGGCAGTTACTGTCCACCTCATCCATGGTCATCCAGAAGTAGCAAGTCATCTGGTGAGCAATACTGGCCACCGACAGAGCCATGGTGATAGTTTCACAAGGCGTCCACTGCTTTTTCTCCTTGTAGTTCAACACACTCATCAAAGAGATATAGGAATTAAAAAAGACAGTGGTGATGCCCAGCACACCCGTCATTACCCAGAGGGGATATTTAATTAACACAAGCATAACCCCAAACTCTTCTGTGCCGTAAACTTTAACAAGGATACCGTAGTCTTTAAGTCTCCGTGCAACACTCAGCAGTCTGTGTGGGCTTCTGAAGTGCTTTGGTTTTGCTGCGTTCAAAGAGATGACAAGAAGGGGGGAAGAGGAATAAGAAATTATATACACACACTCCAAAATCAGATGATTCTTCATTTCTGTCACAGAATTGAATCAGTCATAGCTTGTCAGAAAGGCCCGAGGAAAAGATTCACACATTTAGCATTTGAAATTCATTAAACAGATACAAACAGGCCCAATTAAAATCTTTGGTCAATGTTTGAATTTTATGCCAATTCTGAAATTTAAGGTGGTCACATGCAAAGCAAACAAGTGAGGTAAGAAGGTTAGAGTAATTAGTGTAGGAAATTCCTACACTAGCGAAGCTCACCTGGGTCAGATATTGTGTTTTTTATTGCCGTGAATCCAACTGAAGGTTTCTGCTTACGTTCCCTTTGCCTGTTAGTCGTGACAATACCCTGTCTGGCTCAATAACTTTGGTAGCAGCTGAGGAATCCTTTGTTTTGTTTTGTTTATTCAAGCATTAATCCTTGCCTGGAGTTGTCTGCAGGATGCACACGCAAGGTGAAAGTCTTGGATCTAAGTTTTCTTTTCATGGGGATTTATATTTTCACATTGGGTACGATTTGCATCATCCCTGACCACAGGTAGTGGCGACAGCTGGTTTGCATTGACATGAGGTGGACAGGATATGTGCTCATTATACACAGATCAAAAAAAATAAATAAATAATTAAAGGGACAATTTGAAAACATCAGATCTCAATGGGAATCGATGAGCTTCTGGACAGTCTGAGCTGCAACCTGGCAGCATTGTATGGACCAAAACACAATGTCCCAGAGATTTGCATCCATTCAGGGGTATCAATTCTTTCATTGTCATAGAACTGCCTGCATACTGTCATCACATCACCCGAAGGAACTTTAATCCAGATACCTAAAGGCAGTTAGGGCGCTGTTGTCAAGCTTGTAGAGGTCTGTGTGTCCCTGATTGAAATGCCTTCCCAAACCATCACTGAACCATCACTAAACTAATGATGCTGAATGATGTTACAGGCAGCATAACATTCTCCACAGCTTATCAAGACTTTTTCACGTCTGTCACAAGTACTCAGGGTGAACCTACTCTCATTCGTGAAAAGCACAGGGTGCCAGCGGTGGACCTGCCAATTCTGGGATTCTATGGGAAATTCCAATCGAGCTGCACAGTACTGGGCATCATGAAGCCTATTTCTGGTTGTTTGGTAAGAGACATTCACACCAGCGGCCTGCTGGAGGCCATTTTTTAGCTCTGGCAGTGCCCATGCTATTCCTCCAGATACCAGTCCTACTAATACGGGAAGAACCTTTTATGACCCTGTCCAGCTCTCCTTAAGTAACTGGCTGTCTCAAAGAGTCTCCTCCATTCTCATGAGACTGTGCTGGGAGACACAGCAAACCTTGGCACCTCATGCTGCCAATAATAACACTGACTTCAAATTCAAAACTAGTGAAAAAACAGTCAGAAAAGATGAGGAAGGAAAAATGTCAGTGGCCTCCACCTGTAAAACCATTCCTGTTTTGGGTATTGTCTCATTGTTGCCCCTCTCGTTTCATTTCATGACCAACAAAGCAGCTGAAACTGATTAACAACCCCCTCTGCGACTTAACTGACCAGATCAATATCCCACAAGTTTAATTGACTTGAGGCTGCACTCTGATTAAAAAGTCCTTCCATTTTTTTTTGAGCAGTGCATATTGATATCCAATGACTTTACTGTACGTCTGTCAGTGCAGCACAGCCAATCCACAAACCACAATCCAACACGCGCCGCATGCAAATACTTATTCCTGCTGTCCGCCACATATTTACAAACACCAAACCGCCCACACGCCCATTTACCTGATAAGAACAGCAAATCACCTTTAAGTCACCTTCACAAGCCGTGCTCATGCAGCACCTTATCACTTTAGCTTGTGCTGTGGAGCACCCCAACTTTCTTTTTAATGAGGTGCTGACTTAAATTATAGTTCAACTCTATTTAGATTTCTTGTTTACTCCATTTATCCAGTCAAAACAAGCAAGATGCTGATTTCATAAGCACACAGTATGGCTTTCCCAACAGTCTGCAGTCACACTTTTCTTTATAAAAAAAAAAAAAAATCACCTTAAGCCAAATTTCAAGGACAGATTCTGCCTTTTTGTTGCACAAAAGCTCTTTGAAAGCAGACTGCGGTGGTAGCCTTTTCTTTTTTCTAAAAATAATAATAATACAATTTCTTTTACTATGCCAACCCTGTTAAAACTTCTGCCCTCCAAAGCAAGACTGCGATTTTCCAACAAGGCTTCCAGAACAGTATTTGTAATTAATTATTGTATCCGTTTTCCTGCTTCTTGCATGGATCAAAGGACAGGCTAACGTGTGAGCACATGAGAAAGCTTGACGGATGTGCATTTACTGGGAAAGAAAGGGGGAAAACATACTGGTTAGAGCAAACAGAAAGTCACAGACATTAACACGGACCCACAGAGGATGTGTTTGTCTTCTTGGGAAGCAAACAAACGACAAAGTCAAGCACAGCAGAGGCACATTAAACACTGTGTTATGCCAGTCTCTTGGTGTAGCTGTGTGGTGGGTTGGGATGGGATGCCCCTTGCCCTGAAGGGGACTGGAAACAGAATACTGACCAAGCCACACCACTACCAGCAGCTCGTATTCATTCAATATACGCACCTTTTGAAGATGGGATCAGGAGGAGATGTGCCTGCAGCCCCACCTCTCTTCAAAAGAGAGGTGGGGCTGCAGGCACAGTGCTGACTCTGCTTACTGAAGGTGTCAGCTGCAGGTCAGTACCTCCAAAGTTAGACTAAGAGCTAGTTTACCTTCTTCCTACCCCCTCCCCAAAAAGATCAGACATGCATCCCTGCACAGGACATGAACGAGGCAATTCTGCTTCGTTTTGCTCTACAAATTATTATTATTATTATTATTTTTACCAGAAGGCAAACTGACATAAAGAGGGTCAGAGGTAAAGCTAACTATTCTAAAGTGTCCCCAATTATCGAGCCACTTACACCCCTGAAAATAGCAGCAACTGTGAAAGCTGTGAGAACACATCGAGCATATTAAATGACCAAGATTTTGAGGGTTTTTTTAAACAAGAACTTTGCACTAGATATTTATTTTAATGGATTCTTCATTCATTAATCTCTCTAATTAAGTTACATTTGTACACATGTGACCCATGTGGACCGACAACACAAACACCCGAATGCCATTTACATTTATTGTTCGCCTTGACTTGCCAATTAAAACATTAAACTGTACAAAATAAAAAAAATAACAAGAAGGAAAAAAAGCATCATAATAAAAAATAATTGCTTTGCTATATACATTTTACATACAGTTTTAAAAATTAAAAAAAAAACAAAGCAAATCTTATTTGTGATTATGAAAACCTGTTCTTCTGTTTGCTTTACACTAGCAGTGATGTGCTAAAGTGCTTCATGAAAGTCAGCTGATACATATAATATGTCACATGAGGGTAGGATTTTATGAGTCAGTAGCTATGCAAACACTCCCATTGTTCCCTGGTTTAAAAAACATGTATATATTATTGCACCTCTTGGCCCTTATATACTTCAGACACAGAATATTATTTAAAAGGTGGTGAGTCTTTTTTTTTTTATCATAAAGTGTAGTTGAGCACTAAAAATAAAATTAAGAGCCTGTTAGGCTTGAGGTTTGTGGTCACACGGCGTATCCATATTTAGGGTCATATGTGAGGTGAGCGGGTATCTCCCCGCCTGTGGTCGACCCATTGCTTCCATTTGTGAAGATTGGGCCCGATTCATTGACCGTAGGCAGATTGCCCCTTACGGAACTGTAGATGACGCCGTGGTGAGTGCGGTATCCCATCACCGAGCGGAGGCTGGAGTGTCGGCTGGAGTGCATACTGGAGTTCCTGCTCGGGGGCCTGCTCTCCGGGGCCTGCGCATCCTCCCTGGGAAAGCAGAGTCACGCAGGTTCTCAGTTAAGCTGCTACACCGATCTGAGATCGTTTGACAGATGCCTCAAACGGCCATAAAATACCTTATTTCATTCGCGACCTCCTTCTGGTAGCGACGCTTGTGGCAGCAGCAGATGAGAAGCCAGATGAGAAGCAGGAGGAGCAGCAGAAGCAGCAGAGCGCCTATCACAGCGCCAGCTATCACACCTGCTTTATTGGTAGCTGGAAGAGGCAATGTATTGCTTAGAAATCAAACGTGTGCAGCTCACCTTCTTGAATTCCAAATCCAACAAGAGGATTATATGTGATTTTGCATAAAAGCAAGTCAAAAAAGGTACCTTCAGGATATGAGTGTTCAGAGCTGTTAAACTGAAAATAAGATGATGATATTGTAGACTTACGGTTGTATGCACGCAGTACGTATTTACACTGCCCTTTGCCCACAGCGTTTGCTGCCTCGCAGACATAAGTTCCAGTGTTGCTGTCTGTATGGTTCTTTATCAGAAGCTCCCCACTCTGTTGGTCTTAATGAAAGAAGACAGCACTGAGTACAAGCACATTACCTACACAAACACAGCCGCATTAGTGTTTAGAGAAGAGCATTCTTAGAAAAAGGCATCCTGGTGCTAAGTTGCTTACTTTGAGTAGCAGTGGATGGAATTGCAGCTCCGTTTTCTCTCGTCCACACATAGCTGATGGGAGAGGATCCTTGACGGGATACGCAGCGGAGGGAGACTGTGCTTCCTTTCTCCTCACCACCTTCAACCCAACACTTTGGCGTTGATGGGGGAACTAATGAAAAAAAAGAAAGAAACACCCATATGGCACAAAAACTATTTTAGTGCAATGCTCTGATTCAACACTGAAGCATCTGGGTATGGCTGCAGTGAGGTAATCTACTGAGACAGAAAGAATGGAGGAGCCTTTGCATTCCACGTGAATGAGCACATTTAAAAGCAGACGGCTGAGAAATGAAACAAGTTAGACCGGTTAAAAAAAAAAGAAGCAAAACAAAAAAAGCAATTTGTCCTCACCCAACACAACCAGTGTGATTTTTCTCATGTCAATGCCTGGGAGCTTCTTGACTTTACACTGGTATGTGGCGGTGTCTGAGACTGTCACACCAGTGATAGAGATCGAAGCATCTCCCTGGTCGGGGTTCCCTGTGAAACTGAACCTTTTGGAGACGCTGTTGTCCGTGTAGTGGGTCTGGCCACCTGAATATGATAAGATCTGAGAGGCAAGATTTGCACTGAGTAATGTCTTATTTTTTGATTCAGGTTTTCCAGCTAACTGAGCCTAAATGCAATATTTTCTCTGTCTTTCTATAATTCCTCTCTGTCATCACACATGCAACATACCACTGTGTCCTTCTGTGTCATGTCTGGACTGACGTTGGACCACTCAATATCCAGCGGTCCTGTGTCTGCTGCGGCTGGAGTATAGGTGCATCCCAGTTTAACAGTCGTTCCCGTTGCATACTGAATGGTCTGCGGCCCCGTGGATGTTATCTGCATCGCCTCTGTTAACATGGGATGAAACCAAAAATTCTATTAAGCTCCGTCTAACTTAGAACAATGCTTTCTTTCTCCATTGGATTCTTACAGTCGTGTACCCAAGTTAAGAGACAGAAAGAAGACAGAATAAAATGAATTTCGCTCTCAAACGTATTAATATTTCTCCCACTTAATGGCATTCAAGCTCTGGGCCTGCGCTCCTGTGCCGTCTCAGGGAGGAGAAGAAGTGCTGATGTGAGACTAATAGGCCTTTTAAGTCAAACTGAAGATTTTGAGGGCTTGGACATGAATTAAAGTAAAAGTTTATTTTGATTTTTGGGTTGGGGTTGCATATTCAATTTAACTTATTAAACTCTGGAGGCTTATTAATTGTCTGAAATATATCGGCAAATAATGATGAAAGCTGAACACATGAGCTCGTTACGAGCCGTCTCTGAGTTGACACACACTCCCCGCTAACTCACTCTTTTTGGCTTTAGATTTTTATTCAACTGTTGCCAGAGTCAACACTGATAGCGTGGTGACACATTTCAACAGATCAGAGTTATTTATCTCGATAATGTTCGACTCTATCTTCTCGCCATCCCTCCCCCTTCGTTCGGGTGTCCAACCTTCAGAAAATATCTAAATGGAGCTCAAATCAAATCAGCCTCTGTTTTGACATCGCTCATCATTAAATCCACTATAACCCTGTGAAAGCACTCGGAATGCACTTTAGTGGCACCACAACAAAGCAGAGGATGTCAGGGGTATTTATGAAAGCGTACACAATGGCAGATGTGATGAAGTGAGTGTGGAAAAAAACAAATTAGTCAGTCAAATGTTTACACCGTGAAAGCCGCCCTCCCCAACTCCCAGCACCCCCCAAGGGCAAAACACTGGGATCTAAAGAAGATGCGATTTCCACGTGAAGAGGCCACTGAGCTAACTTGCCAGTAGGTTCAGCCACTGAGCTCAGTACAAACATGCACATCCCTGTGCCCTCCCCTCATTGGCAAATACAAAGGTGCCTCACAGTTTTTGTTTTTGTTTTGTTTTGTGTGTGTTTCCTCCTGCTCACCCCTACTTCTTCTCTGGAATAATTTTTTGACTCGTCATAACAGCAGAAGCAGACGTAGAAGTGTTTACATCAATGATGCAGAGGAATTTAAAGGAATTGCCACGTACAATGCTAAACCCTGGATGTCGCTCATCGTAAATAATATGATGGTTGGAATACTGCCATCATTAATGTTGTTTATTTCTCCTGTGAATGGAAATGCACACGCCCAGGTGCTTTCCTCAAATAGTCACGATAGAGCCGAAAGAATCAGTCGTGGCTCTTTATATAAGGCGGTGAACTTTTGGTCTAATTAGGAAGCATTATCTGAATAATGAAGGGGACGTTGAGGTTTGAGGGTTTTTTCTGGGCGTATTTGATGTAATTTTTTTTTTTTTTTTTTGCATTTTTATGCTGCTCTTATATTTAATACAGACAGCTTGGATGGGGGCCCGAGGCTAATTACTCCCCTGGTCACAATAAAATCCATCAGGGTCGCACTTTGCAAATGCACATAGCTGTTTGACCCTCAGCCACAATAATTTAAGGTATGAATGATATGCGGGGTACTTCTCAGCCATCCCCACTACAAACGCACCCTTCAGTGAGTACGTGAAATGGTCAGATCATCAGCTGAGTTACAGTGAACTGTATCTGCTGTGTGGATCACAAATCAGATTCAGGTTCAGAATTCCTAAGAAAAACAACTCTTCTGCTGGTGATCATTGTGTTCCCTGATTCAACATGCTCAGAAACCTGAAACAAATTCCTTAGATGTAATCAAAAAGAAAGAAAAACCCCACACTCACCTGTTCTCAGCTGAATTGTCACCAGAAACAGCACAGCCACCTTTAGCCTGACGCTCGTGAATGCTGGCTCCATTTTCAACCTGAGAGCAAACACACTATCAGGAAAATAAGAGTTTTGATCTAAAGGCTTGTATTTGGCATCAAAAAGCAAAGATGTCTGGCGTCATTCACCTCTCCCCCAGAGCCTTTATCACTTTTGCTTAGTTGTTTATCTATAAACTTACATCACCTGAGAACTCAGTCGTGACGGTTTATTTTGTGTGTGTGTGTGTGTGTTTGTCTGTACAAACTACCAAGAAAATCAAAATGTTGATCGATAAACGCTATAAAGGGAAGAAATAAAAATAACAGCTCTGACATACCTTAAAGTGAAGACACAATCCAC